AATGTATAATTCAACTACATATGCTAGTTTTGTGGCTGCTCAAGAAATAGCCAGGCACGGGAAGGGTTTTGTGGTTCCCGGTGTTTTCTTTTCTGTGGGAAACGGGTCCAAATGGCTCTTTGAGTCTTTAAGGTTGCAGACCCCTGCTATAACTAAATCAACAAGAGGAGGAGGGTGATTAAGGCTGTAGACCGTTACTAAATCCAGGTTAAATCCCATTTAGTACATTGAATCTAGCTTCTGAGTAAATGTGCTTTCTAAAACATGCTAATTAAGCCAAAATCCATTACAGTCCTTGACTTAACAACAATTTGTTTAGTGACCATTTGAAGTTACAAGGGCACTGAAAAAAGTGACTTATGACCATTTTTCATACTTATAACCGTTGCAGCATCCAGATGGTCACATGATTTACATTCGGTTGCTTGATAACTGGTTCATATTTATGACGTTTGCAGTGATCCCCTTTTGCGCCCTTCTGCCAATCAAAGCCAATAGGGAAGCCAGGTTCGCTTAACAACCATGTGATTACTTTAACAACTGCAGTGATTTACTTAACAAAAATGACAAGAAAAGTCTTAAAATGGAGCAAAACCTCTCACTTAGCAACATAAATTTTGTGCTCAATTGGGGTCCTAAGTTGAGGACTACCTACCGTATATTTTGAGTCTGGTCTGGCTTCTGAGTAAACCTGCTTTCTAAAACATGCTAAGCCAAAATCCATTACTTAGAAAGCATCGTGATAGTCCCAGTCCTCTCCTTCCTTTCCAAAATGTAGAAAGAAGCTGCTTATAAAGTGGGAATGCCACCATGCATTTTAGAAATATTTATTTACCGTATTTTCCGGACAATAAGACACACTGGAGTATAAGATCCTAGATTTCAAAGAGGAAAACAAGAAAAAAAATAGTTTTTGGCCTCCTGAAACACACACACCCCCGCGTCCTGTTTTTGCCCTCCCCAGCCCCCAGGAGAACTCTGCAGGCCTCCCAAACATTCTGCACATCCCGTTTTTCGCAAAAATGGGACGCACGGGGGAGGTTCAGGAGGCCAAAAACGGCGGTATTTGGTCTATAAGACGCACCGACATTTCCACCCAGTTTTTTGGGGGAGAAAAGTGTGTCTTATAGTCTGAAAAATACATTATTTGTTTATTTATTTGTTTGATGTTGAGTAGAAGTGGTTAACTGCTCCCTATTTAAAGCGCTGTCCAGTCCAAAGATCAGGAGCCATAAAAAAAAAAAAAAAGCAGAAGAGGAACATTGGAATTTACCCTTCAACGGGAGCATGTGGGTGGTGATATATCTTTAACATAGTCCTGTTTTTACTCTTCCTTTTTCATTTATGTTATTGCTGATTTTGTTTTGTGCATTTGTAAAGGGTCACAACACACACTTTTATTAATGGTTTTAATCTCTGTTTTACGGATTTATGGTGGACCACCTTGAGATTTTTTTTAAGAGCGAGCGGTATAGAAAGAAAATAAAGAGCTAAGGAGCAGACGCAGTAAAGACATGCAGAAAATCACCTAGGAGAGATCCACATATTTTTGGCCATGCTGGCACAATAGCATCTATCTAATTCAAGATTTTCATGAGGGCTTGCCCCGCTCATCATCTTGGCGATATTTTGTTTTGTTATGTTTGCCTGCTTTTATGGCAGTTCTGCAGCCCAGGAGTGACTTCTTGCTGAACCTTGTAAAATGAGTTTCTGGGTCTTGCAGGAGCAATTGGGAAATTCTTAATCAGAAAAGCAAAAGCAGAGGAAGGGAAGCAATTGTATATGGTGAAGGCAGATATGGGGGCATGTTCTTTGATGGGGTGGTTGGGAGTGATTCCCCAGCAGTTCAGAGTTCATTAGAGCTAATGATGTCTGGGAAGTTCATCAAGTTAGTCTCCACTTCTAAAAAATAAAAGCTTGTGTGTTCAAGGACACACAATTACCTTCAAATCAGGTTGGCTTTTATCCTAAAATTTTATCTGGCGCAGAGTGCGGCCGCTCGGGTGGTTATGGGAGCAACATGGAGCTCCCATGTAACACCTCTCCTGCGCGAGCTGCACTGGCTCCTGGTGGTCTTCCGGGTGCGCTTCAAGGTTCTGGTTACCACCTTTAAAGCGCTCCATGGCTTAGGACCTGGTTCCTTACGGGACCGCCTACTACCATCAACAGCCTCCCACCGACCAGTACGCTCCCACAGAGAGGGGCTCCTCCAGGTGCCGTCGGCCAAACAATGTCGGCTGTCGGCCCCTAGGGGGAGAGCCTTCTCTGTGGGGGCACCGACGATCTGGAATGCGCTCCCCCCAGAGATACGGAGGATTCCGGATCTGCGCACCTTCCGCCGCGAGTTGAAGACGCTTTTATTTCATCAAGCTGGCCTCGTCTAAATCTTCTCCCTTTTAAGTGTAAATTTTAAATTTTTAATGTATTTTAAAATTATGGGTATTTTAAATTATGGGTATTAATTCAGCCAAATTTATTTAATTCATTTTATTCGATTTTAAATTTTGTATATCTATGTGTTTTATTTCATGGCTGTGCACCGCCCTGAGTCCTTCGGGAGTAGGGCGGTATAGAAATTCAATAAAATAAATAAATAAATAAATAAAGGTGCTTTCAAAAGACAACTGGATTTTCTTTGATTTTGCTTGAAGACATTTCACTTCTTACCCAAGAAGCTTCTTCAGTTCTGACTGAATGGTGGAGAATGGAAAGTCATCTGGTCGTTAGCACTCTTCCTGAGAGTCATTGAGGCCACTTTATCTGTGCCCTCAGGGTCACCGGAATAGTGCAGATGGATGTGGAACCTTCTTGGAACTGCTAAAGGACTGTGTTGTAAGCAAAAGATAGGTAGTGTTCAGTGATGAAATCCAATTTTTTTTTACTACCGGTTCTGTGGGCGTAGCTTGGTGGACGTGGTGTGGCTTGGTGGGTGTGGCTTGGTGGGCATGGCAGGGGAAGGATACTGCAAGATCTCCATTCCCACCCCACTCCAGGGGAAGGATACTACAAAATCCCCATTCCGTTCCCACTCCTGGGGGAAAGATATTGCAAAATCTCCATTCCCTCCCCACTCTGGGGCCAGCCAGAAGTGGTATTTGCCGGTTCTCGGAACTACTCAAAATTTCCGCTACCGGTTCTCCGAACTACTCAAAATTTCCGCTACCGGTTCTCCGAACTACCCAAAATTTCCGCTACCAGTTCTTCAGAAACTGTTAGAACCTGCTGGATTTCACCCCTGGTGATGTCATATCCCTCCCCCGTCTGTTGAGAAAGGGCTGTTCAATTTTAATCAAAGATGGCTTCTTTGATCCCTCTTTCAAACCAGTGGTCCTCTCTGTCCAGAATGTGGACTTTTCTGTCTTCAAAAGAGTGACCTTTGTCTTTCAAATGCAGAGGGACTGCTGGATCTTGTGCTGATGGGTTTGTTCTCCTATGTTGTGCCATGCGTTTGTGAAGTGGTTGTTTTGTTACTCCAGTGTACAGATTTGCACGTCTCACTGCATTTTATCAATTCCTGAGCTTGTGTAATAGTTCTGCAATCAGTTCCCAAAAATGGCAACCAATAGAAGAAGTTGAGGTTTAGATGTGTAGAAGAATGTGGGAAAGGGGTCACCTTCACATAAACCCTTTAGAGACATCCTATTCATAAGTCTTGTCATGGTATCAAGCTCTTGCTAGCCCTGTAAATGGAATGGATTTTCAACTGCATTATTTTATGAAGTTCATGGAGTGGACATCAGCAAGATTCTACCACCTATCTGTCCTTATCTGAATTACCATATTGCTAATTTTATGCAAATCTGAGCTTGCATCCTGTTTCTCCATCCCGTTTCAGCAATGCCATTACTCTCTTTTTTGAATAATGAGTAACTAGCTGGAAAATGCATGCTGAAATGCGTTCTTAAATAGCAACAGCAATAGCACTTAGACTTTTCACAGTGCTTTACAACTCTCTCTAAGTGGTTTACAAAACAGCATATTACCCAGTGGTGAAATTCAATTTTTTTTACTACCGGTTCTGTGGGCGTGTCTTGGTGGGCGTGGCAGGGGAAGGATACTGCAGAATCTCCATTTCCACCCCACTCCAGGGGAAGGTACTGCAAAATCTCCATTCCCACCCCACTCTGGGACCAGCCAGAGGTGGTATTTGCCGTTTCTCCAAACTACTCAAAATTTCCGCTACTGGTTGTTTGAACTACTCAAAATTTTAGTTACCGGTTCTCCAGAACCTGCTGGATTTCACCCCTGATATTGCCCCCAACAATCTGAGTCCTCATTTTACCCGCCTCGGAAAGGTGGAAGGCTGAGTCAACCTTGAGCCCATCAGGATCGAAACTCCAGATTGTGGGCAGAGTTAGCCTGCAATACTACATTCTAACCACTGGGCCACCACGGTCTTTTGAAGGTGCACTTGTAAGAAAACCATCTGTTGCAGAGTTACTTTAAAGGTAACTTGATTCTTTTCCATGGAAGCAGGCAATAGAAAACCACTTCTGAAATCTTGCCAAGAAAACTGCAGGGAACTAGTCCAAGCATTCGCCACAGTGAAAACTGACTCAAAGGCACACACACGCAAAAACCTTGCAGCCTCATATTCTACAAGCTCAGTCAGGACTGTATCTCGTGTCCCTTCTTGGAATTTACTCTCAAATAAACGTCCATCACAGAAAGACATAGGCTGTAACTATATGGTCATCTATAAGAACAAAGGTTCCACTTAGATCTATTGGCTGAAAGCCAACTGAGTGACTTCGAACCCGTTGCTCTCTCTCAGCCTAACCTACCTCATAGGGTTATTGTTGTTGTATGGGGAAAATAGAGGAAGGAGGATTATGTATGTTCAACTACCTTTGGTTACTTATACAAAAATAAAGGAAGGATAAATATCCAATAAACATGTGAATTTGGAGAGTGTGGTTTCTAAGTTAATCATGTATTAATCTTGATGGTTGGCTGGGAGCTAAACATACCTTTTTTTCCTCCTGATTTTTCTCTTCCAGGTGCAAATTTTTCAGCCTGACTGAGACACCTGAAGACTACACGGTCATAGTGGATGAAGAAGGATTTTTAGGTGAGCTACTGCATTCCCGTTCCATTCATTGTGTTAGCCAGCCCAGAAGATTATAATGTTATTTATATTGTTAGACTAAAACATATTGTTAAGGATATTGGTGTTGTGTTACCAACCAGCAGAGTAAATGCACAAGGAGAAATGTTGCTGAGAGCAATGAATAAGAGATATGCAAACTGGTTTATCAAAAGCTTACTTTATAGTAGAAAAACAGTCTCATAGTCTTTAAACAAATTCCAAGTCTTTGCCAGTTAAATCAGTCCAGTAGTTACAGATATCTTCTCACCAAACAAACAGTAGTTGGTTAGAATAACAAACTCACTCTGGTTCACAAACCAGGATGGTGGCAGATCCATCCAACCATGATTAGCAGATAGCAACTCCTCTCAATGGTAGCTTATCATAGCAACTCCACACACAATGGTAGCATATCACATCAGCTTCATACACAATGGCAGCATATCATAGCAGCAACTGAACATGTTACAATACCTTGCTTAAATACTCTCACAACCAGTGATTACCTAATTACAGCATGACTCAGCATTACAATAAATCAGCAAGAAAAACTTTGAAGTCATACAATACATATTCATATTAAAGTCACAGAACACATATATTGCCTGGACAACTTGTTAGGCTCAAACCATATCCTAACACATATAAAGAATGGTTTTGTCAACTCTGAAGTTGGCCTGAGCAAGGCCATTTTCTAGCTTCAGCATTGCCACACTGGAGCTGAGGGTTGGGGAGGGGGGGAGAGTAGAGATAGAGATGGTTTTTAGCCAAAACAAAATACTTTCTCTTGGGAACCAAGGACATTCCCACAGGTGATCAGAGACAGGCGGAGTGATGTTACCAGGCAACCGGATGACACGATGATTGGACCATGTTACTGTTTGGGGAAGGGGAAAAACCTTTACTTTTAACTTGGTGAAAACCGTGGAAATATTCAGAGTCGGTTTTCACCAGCCTGTGCCAATATGATATTTCCAATAAATCAGTTCTTTGAGGTATCTATCATGGGAGTATTACTTGGAACCCTGACACTAAACTGACTCTGACAGGTTGCTGGAATTGGGTCTAGTTTAATGAAAAGAAGGACTAGGGGTGACATGGTAGCAGTGTTCCAATATCTAAGGGGCTGCCACAAAGAAGATGTGGGGTTAACCTGTTCTCCAAAGTCTGTAGCGATTCTTAGTCATCCAGGTCATGGTTGTCCCAAAGGTGCTTTTGGGGGTGGGGGGCAACTGGACTTTCTTGTTTTATCTTTGAAGATGTTTCGCTTCTATTCTCCAAAGCACCTGCAAGCAGGACAAGAAGCAATGGATGGAAACTAATCAAGGAGAGAAGCAACCTAGAACTAAGGAGAAAATTTCAGCCCATGAGAACAATTAATCAGTGAAACAACTTGCCTCCAGAAGTTGTGGATGCTCAACTTAAAAACACTGGTGGTTTTTAGGAAGAGATTGGACAACTATTTATTTGTTTATTTGTTTATTTGTTTATTTATTTATTTATTTATTTATTTATTTATTTATTTATTTATTTATTAGTTCAATTTATATGCCGCCCTCCTCCGAAGACTCAGGGTGGCTTACAATGCACTTATAGCAATAGCCTTCATTCTTTTGTATATACCTGCTTAGTAGGGCTTTTGGCCCCCCCACAAGCGGTGTTTCTACAAAGTCAGCTTATTGCCCCCACAATCCAGGTCCTCAATTTACCTACCTCAGAAGGTTGGAAGGCTGAGTCAACCTTGAGCCTGGTGAGATTTGAACTCACACTAATTACAGGCAGCTGCCAGCTAAGTGCTACATAACAGCACTTAGTCCGCTGCACCACCAAGGCTCATTTGTCTGAAATGACATAGGGTTTCCTGAGTAGCGGGTTGGACTAGAAAACCTCCAAGATCCCTCCTAACTGTTATTCTGTTCTGTTATTCTACATTCCATCTCCACCCCAACTAATTCCCTTCAGTAGGTTTAACTACCTTTTCAGTCCCAGCCAGCATGATCAGTGGTCAAAGGCAACAGGTATACATTGGAATAGCGTACCAATATCATTTCCCAAACCTGAATCTTTTCAGTAGCCAAGAGACGTCATTAATGCAACAGTGGATGATTTAGGAAAACTCTTAACATTTTCAGAACTGTAGTATGAAAAATCATTAAGATAACTCTTTAAGGAAGATTGCTCCCTCCCCCAGAATTCAGCCAAATAATGTCATTATTTATTTGACAGAGTCCTAATGGACAGTGAGACAGGATGGAACACAGGTAGTCCTCAACAAATGACCGTAATTTGGACCTCTGTCGCTAAGTACTTGTTCACTTGTTAAGTGAGCCATGTCTGGTTTTACAACCTTTTTGACATGGTCATTAAGCGAATCCAACTTCCCCATTGACTTTGCTTGTCGGAAGCCATCTAGGAAGGTCTCAAATGGCAATCATCTAAGCCAGGATGCTGCCCATTGTCATACATGCATGCCAGTTGCCAAGTGCCCAAATTGTGATCACATTGACCACAAGGATTCTGCAACAGTCATAAACGCAAGGACCAGACCATAAGTCACTTTTTCCCAGCACTGTTGTAATTTCAAATGGTTGTTAAATGAATGGTCACAAATCAAGGACTGCCTGTATAGTATTTTGGAGGAGAGCAAGGTAAGTAGGCTGGTACAGCGTTTTGTTTCAAATCCTATTTATCATGTCTATCCTAGATGGGCTCGGACAGTTCTAATCATCCTCATCAGAGAGACTCATACTTGTCAAGGTTGCTGCTGTTTCACTGATTAGATGGATAGGAGAGCCTGTTTGTGATGTTGGGCTCGATGGAACAGATGAGATTGTTGCTACTTACCAACCTCTTTGCTGTTTCATTATCTGAGTTGCTGGACACCAGAACCAGGCTGGTAGCTTTCTAGACTTTATAGTCTTGAGGAATCTCAACCTATCTTCTCTAGGCATGGAATCAGAAGTAGCCTGGGTGTTGAAGCCCATTGTGGGACCTAGGAACCTAACCCAGGACAGCAAGGGTTCCAGACCAGTGGTGGGTTGCCCCCGGTTTGGACTGGTTTGCAAGAACTGGTAGTAAAACCAGTGGGAGGCCCCGCCCACCACCCCAGACGTCGTCATCGCCGATCTGCGCATACGCAGAAGCTTATGCGCATGCACAGAAGCAAGGCGCGCAGGCGATCCCATTTCAAACTGGTAGTAAAGGTGAGTAGAACCCACCCCTGTTCCAGACATGTTGAATCTGGTTATAATCTTAGGGCAATTATAGTGTGATCTGGGATTTGGGGGGAGGGTACTATTATTCCCTTATCATGGTTAGATTCCTCTTACTATTAGACTTTTCTGTGGCTGTTTCCCCCCCCCCCCTTAGGGAGGAAGGACCTGTTTAATTGGTCTACCCAAGAACCTGATGGATCTAGTTGGGTTTCAAAATGAGCCTTGGGGTTGTATCTGAGGTCCTAGTGCCGTGATGGCAAACCTATGGCATGCATGCCAGAGATGGCACGCAGCACCCTCTCTGATGGCACGCGAGCTGTCGCCCCAGTTCAGCCGGCCAGCTGGTCTTTGGTTCTCTGCCGCGCATGTGCAGGGTGTGTGCGGGGGGCCGCATACGCGGGGCAGGCAGGGCACTTGCACGGTGGCACGCATGCATGTATGGGGGTGGAGCACATGCATGGGGGCCACGCGTACATTGCATTTGGGGGTTCAGGTGCACGTGCACACATTTGGGGGGAGTGTGCTCTTTCGGCACTCGGTCCAGACAAGGTTAGCCATCACTGTCCTAGTGTATGGATTCGATTTAGACTTTGGTTGCTTGAAGTGAATGGGTGACAATGACTTCAGTTGGATGGTCCTACATGGATTATTGCTGTTCACATATCCAGGAGAGTCTCCTCAATTTTAGAGAAGCTCCAGGAGATAAAAACAGCTGATGGTTTTTAGAGCTCTGTTGGTAGAAAAGAAAGAGCGAACCCAACCAAACATAGAGAATAACCTTTGTTCAGGATTTTTGACTGATTATATGCCATCAAATCAATCACACAGATTATCTCCAAGGCAATCTAGCTCCATCCTCATTCTTCACGTCTTCCAACAGGTCTTCATCACCACAATAATGGAGTCTATCCACTTTGCTGCTGGTCTTCCTTTCTTCTATTTTCTTCCATTTTTCTAAGCATTACAGATTTCTCAAGAGAGCTGGGGCTGCACACAATGTAACCAAAATACAATATCTTGTACCAGGTCATTTGTACCTTGATTAAAAACTCTGGATTGATTTGTTCTATGGAACATTTGTTTGTTTTCTTTGCTAGGATAATCATTAGATGATAACAAAAAGTTCATTTGTTATTATTATTAAGATTGATTGCACACCCTGCCAGATGTTTAGACTTGATTTGGCATTTTTATCGACCTACCAAGTCCTTCCCCAAAAGCAGATGTTGTCTGAAGGTGTTAAAAGCGTGGTGGCAGGATGTAAGCTGTTTCAAGTAAAGCTGCCTTTTGTAATTGATTAGGGTTTTGTCAGTGCCAATGGTGTTCAAGTAGTGCTCCAGATGTTTTGAGGTTGCACCCAAGGCACTTACTAATATTGGTACTATCTTTGCTTTCTTTTGTCACAGTCATTCTCTTTCCATTTACAGGTCATTGTATTTTGTTATATTCTCCAGTTCTTTCTCTGCTATCCTGCTCTCTCCAAGTTCTGCCACGTCTACTATCCAGACTTTATTAACTTACTTATCAACAGTTATTAAGTCTGGGTTGTTATGTGGCAGGTGCTTATCTGTTTGATTCTAAAGTCCTAGAGCACTTTAGCTTCTTTGTTTTGATTGCTGTCTCTATTTTGTGGTACCACCAGTTGTTGCTTGCAGGTATTTCTTGCATATATTCCAAGGCAGCATTGTTGCTACTTTGTCATGCCGTTGTCTGTAGTCAGTCTGTGTAGGTGGTCCACTGTTCCTTCAGCTTCTTTGCAAATTCTCA